AACTTTGTGAGAAGAAGCAGCAAGAAGCTCACAAGTGGGCTATTTTTCTCCCAACAGTTACACTTTATCCTTATAATACAAGTAAGTAAACAATAAAAAGTCTAAGGAATCTCCCATTTTGTCCACATATTCTTATCATTTAAGTAGTCATCTAATTTAAAAAAAAATCTCATAAGAATGTTTTTACGCGCTTTGAATTTATGCAAAGGCAAATTAGTAATATCACAGGGCTAGCAGCTGTTTATCTAAGTAACTTCATATTAAGCAAGTGGCGGTGTAGGAATATTCACTACCACATTTCATTCCGTAGGTGTCATATAAGGTGACAGAGATAAACTGATCCAGGAGCAGGGTGGCAACATCTTTTATTTTTATTTCATTTTATTCAAAGTGGAACAGCTAACAACTACATTATATATAATTACATATAGATAGTACAGTAACATAGTATACGCAATAATGCAGCCCACAGTGCTGTTCATAGATTACCTCTTGGGATAGATAATTAAGACGCTAGGAGACCTGCAGTTGTACAGAAGGTATTATACAAATGTCAAAGTATGGTCAACAGTGATATTATAATGTGACTAATATAACAAAATTATTATGTGAAAAGTGTCTTGTATAAAAGACCACGAAACTTTTCCTTTGAGCATGTAAAAATGTCAATATGCTCGAAAGTCTCATTATATGTGGCAACCATACGTCGAATTGGTGAACGAATACCGGTATTGGATCGACAGGTGCTTACGGCAAAGAGTTTACCCGCACGCACCCGTCGTCTATGGACAGTTCTGGGAACTACATAACATAACAGATTGTTTAACTCAATACAGTCAAATTTGCATCTTACTATATGAAACAATGTCATAGACTCCAATTGCTTACGTCTAGAGTGGAGGGTTAGAAGTTTGTATCTACTGAGTAACTGGTCATACGGTAAATGAGATTTATGACATCTATAATGCACGTAGAAACCGGCGTTGAACATTTTCAATTTTGTGTATATATTTATTATAATAAGGATTCCAAATGGGCACAGCATATTCAAGTTGAGAGCGAACTAGGGTTTTATATAAACAAAGATATGAAGAGGTCCATTTGAAGTCGCGAGTTGATCTCATAATAAATCCATATAGTTTGTATGCTTTGTTAACAATTTGTTCAATAATATGTAAGTCTAAGCACAGTTTTGAATCAAACAGTATACCGAGATCTCGCATAGAATCCACTTTAGCTAAAGGAACGTTACACACTAAGTAGGAAAATGTAATAATATTCTTGTTTTTAGTAAAACGGAGATATTTACACTTCGGAATGCTTAACTGAAGCTTACTTTTGTAACAATAGTCTGTAAGTCTATCTAGGTCCTCTTGGAGAAGAATGCAGTCTTGTGTAGTATGAATAGATTTATAAACTTTAAGATCATCTGCATATAATAAAAATTTTGAGTTGAGAAAACAGTTACTTATGTCATTAATAAACATTATAAATAACAAAGGCCCGAGAATAGATCCCTGGGGTACACCGGAGGTAACCATCGTAACGTTAGAGTGGTATCCATTAATTACAACCCTTTGACAACGGTTAGTGATATAAGAAACAAACCACCGTAACAAATTACCCCGAATTCCATTGTAAGCTATTCGATTTAGTAACATTTCGTGGTCCACCTTATCGAAGGCCTTTCGAAAGTCTGTATATACTGCATTGACCTGTACGCGATCATCAACATTTTCAAATAAATAGCTGGAAAATAATAATAGATTGGTGGTTGTTGATCGACGTTTAACGAAACCATGCTGTTGCTGTATAATTATATTGTGCAGTATGGGATATATTTCGTTATGCACTAGTCTCTCGAAAAGCTTCGACAAAGTGGACAAAATTGATATCGGGCGATATTGATCTACACTACGTTTAGATCCGCTCTTGTGCACAGGTGTGATGTTAGCCTGTTTCCATACTGTGGGCATAACACCTTCAGTAATGCATTTATTATAGATGATAGTTAGGGGTTAACATATAACTGTGGCAGTGTTTCTTAGAAAATAAGCAGATAAGCCATCAGGGCCTGGCCGCTTAGATGGATCCAAGGATTTCAGCTCTCTTAATACCTTTTCTACTTCAAAATGAAGATTAGTAATAGTAGTTTCATGGGATGCTGAATCGGCAGGTGGTCTCCACTGCGATAGTGTAGGTGAGGGAGGTTCGTAAACGGAAGAGAAGAATTCAGAAAACATGTTGCATATTGTTTGTGGATCACTTGAAACATCATCATTATATTCAACCTTAGCTGGTATTCCAGATTTGTCACGACGATTAGAGATGTATACCCAGAAATCCTTAATATTTTTGCGTATGCTATCCTCGACCGATCCAATATATTTAGAAAAACATTTATTGCACATATCCTTAAATAACTTTCTATACTTGGAAAATATCTCATAGTCTGATATGTTGTTATACTTCTTCCATTTCACCCAAGCTTTACGTTTTTTCCTAAATGTGCTAATTAGAGATTTCGAAAACCAGACAGGAAAAGCAGAGGTTTCAGGAGCCAACAAATGGCGTGTGTTGTTTGATAATTTCGTCAATGATTCCGTAAAATGCGCTAAGTGCTTCTTCAGATCCCAGTGGAGTAAGTATTTCATTCCAGTCAGTGGACTCTATTTTGCGGTTGATGTGCGTGTAGTCGGACTTATAAAAATTGTACCTTTGAAGCGTCTGCTTTTTCATTGGAACAATATCAGCATTGAGAGCTATATCACAAACAAAGGGTGGATGATATGCGTCAACAGGAAGTAGGGGACTTAAAGCGGCCGATATCTTACACGAGCGGTTTGATATGCATAAATCAAGTATTTTATTTTTGGTATTCACTACGTAGTTGTATTGTGCGGCATCTAGAAATGAGATTAAATTACATAATAGGTTAAAGGTAACGGATGAGCCTACTCCACTGCCATGTAAGGCGTCTGTGGTTCCTCGTGTCCAAGTTACATCTGGGAGATTATAGTCGCCCAAAATATAGAAACCATCCAAATTAGGATCACACAGTACCTCTTGTAAAGTTTCAAAGTGAAGTTCGTATACGGTAGAGGATGTTTTGGGGGTATGTAAGCAGCACTGAAGACATGGCGCTTTGAGGATTGCTTACTAGGGACGTCGATGATGACATGTTCGATTAGGTTATGCAATGAAACATTTACACTAGTCGAAGACAGATTTAACTCAGATGATCTGAGTGTACGCAATACCGCAATTAGAACACCACCGCCATCTAGTTTAATTGTACTGATACGATTACGGTCGCACCTGTACACAATATAACGTTGATCGATAAACTCATTGTTGCTAATTTCCGATATCAGCCAAGTCTCGGTGAGTACGATGATATCATAGTTACTGTTTAGAATGTTCATATATATTGTGTGTAATTTTGTTCGGAAACCTCTGCAATTTTGATAGTATAAGGAATATTGCTTGCTACCAATTACAAATAATTGAGAATAACATGTACATATTGACAGTAATATTAAAACTTTTGCTTACGATGTTCAAGTCTTTAAAACAATAATAAGAATATTTTACCTTATTATGATATAATATACCAGTCACGCAGCAAAGACAAACCTCCAATTCTCCATGAAGAAACGATTCAAAATATATCTTCATAAACATAATAATAATTACAAAAACATGCACGCAAAATGAAAAAATCAATAAAAATTTATAATTATTACTCCACACCTTTTCAGCCCACTGGTTAAAATATTTTGTTGATACATATACAACTAAACAACCATACTTACACATGTTATTTTCAAGGGCTGACATACTTATGACATACTCATAAATTTTTAAAAAGATAATAATATTACAACAGACAAGTAACACATAATCGTAGTAATTAAAAGGATTGAAAGGTTTGTAACTTATCAAAGTGTAACAACATATGGCAAAATAGAGGCCAAGACGATTGCATAATAATAAACCTAGGATCAACATACAATTTATTAATACAAGTATGTTTATAAACTTATAATTAAACTGAGCATTATTTTTAATTTTGACGTAAGGCACACTTATTTTATGTTTAAAAAAGTTTAGTTTATATACTGTTATCATGCCAAATGATTTCATAATAGCACTATTTATAGTAATATATACTCCATAAAATAAATATAAATATTTCAAAAAAGTGTAACATAATGCAATAGTACAATATAACCCTACTAACGTAACATAGCGTAAGGAAAATTTTATTTCAAAAGTATTAATTATATAATTTGACTTGTTGTTTGCATTTTTGGATGAGAGAACGATAAAAATCATTAATAAAAACGTGTAATACAGAATGACACCTAATGAAGAAATTAAGCGAGATATATGGTGGGGAGAATAATGATAATAATGAAAAGTATTGTTATTACTGAGTATGTTGAGTAGAACCACCACAAGGGCTTTTATTACCACCTTTAGAAGGGCTTTTGATCTTACGAAAATCATCATCTGTGCGGATAGCAAAAGCAGTATCACCATCTTGCTCGCGCACCAAAATAGTGGCATTCCGAACCCAGACATACTTGTATTGGTGAATAGCGGCGAGATCTCTGGTTTTACGAAATAATTGTTTTTTCTTCAGTGTAAGATGCTCGTTCATATATACGGTCATTGTCGATCCGGTGAGACCTAGTTGGTCGGTCTTGAGAGTTTTCACCTTACGAAAAGCCGCTAGTACATTGTCACGAAGGATGCGCGATGAAAGTTTCACAATAACATTCTTGGGCTTCTTTGTTTGATGGTGAGCATGGGGAACTCTATGGATTGACAGGATATCTTTCTGAGAAATTGGAAAGTTAATAGCCATACTAATCGATCCCATTATGTTTAGCAAGTTTTCACTGCGAGTTTCAGGAATGTTAAACAGATTTCGATGTTGCATTGTCTGGCTTGTTGCTCCAGGTAATCGACTTTAGTTTCCAAGTTGCTAATGGTTAGGCTGGATTGTTCGGTAGATTGACGTATTGTGCCGTCCACTTTTTTTTTTTGAAATCGTCTTGTTCCCCGGAAAGGAACTGCATGGATGCTTTTAATTCTGAGACATCACGGGATATATCAGCAGTTTGATGCTTTAGACGCTCATGTTCAGCACGAAGGGTGCATATCTCCTCCCTGAATCCATTCAAAGCAAATTTTAAATCATCATTAAGTTTAGTTATACTCGCCTCCATCTCATCTCGCCAGTCATGTAATGAGCTCTTGATATTCTCCTTGAATACAGTTAGTGTATTGTTCATATCACTTCGCCATTCCTCAAAGGTCTTATGTAGTTCCTGTGTGAATGTATGGAAAGTAGCACCCGTCTCCAGGGCAAGACAGTCATAGACTGAAGCAGCTGGTGTAGTCGGAGTACAAGGATTGTACGATGAGATGGGTGCTTGGCCCTCGATTTCATATGACATATTCATGTTATCATCCAAAGGTATTTGCGTGGATCGCACGGGCTTAAGCAAGTTGGATCGTCCACGACGGGTAACACACAGAGAATTTAAGGCAGACATTTCCAGGCTGCCTTAAATTCTTCTGACAGTGAAGAATATTGTTGCTGCTTAATATTAAGGCATTCAATATGATAGATTCCTTCGCAGGCATGACAATTCAGCAGCCGCGCCCCGGCTTGCAGATTGTATTACAACCAGCGCAATTCATTTTTAAGAAGTTGTAGTTTGTAATGTTATTATTGTACACTCCAAGCACAAAAGCGCCACCTTTTGGTGGTACGGAAACTCGATCGATGTATCAAGGATTGCAATTATTAATATCGATATTCGAGAACCACCAATTTGTCATCAATATAAGCATAAACACATAGATGGCGTTATTTATAATCTTGTAGATGAGATCAACGACATTGATTCAAATCGAAACTAAAAGTTTTTACAACAACCGTCAAATTTCACACGATAAATAGTTTTGCAAAATACACTTAATGTATATAGTAATTTATTATTGCACTTAGGTTTACGTTAACATATGTTACTACTAACAAATGTTATTAACACTAAACTTTATTATTTACTTATTAACCTGTATTAATACATCAATTAATATTATTTATAGTGACAACAAACTGTATCTAATATCGTTATTTCCTGCACATTTCGTGAATGAAAAGACTTTATAACACTTGTACATAACTAATAAGGTTTTTACTTTGCACTAAATTAATATTTTAGTATATCCGAGCTGTTTTATAATTTTAATAACAGAAATACACGGAGCTGATCTTAACCGTGGCAACTAGCGCCCTCAGAGATCTTATCGATAACAGCTGAATAGAAATAACAAACAGCGGTTTCCACCTCCTTTGCCATGTGTAGCAACTATGGAAAATATTCCCCCTAAAAAGCAATATACGGGTATGTTCAGCGGTAGATCTGTAGTCTGTCTGTCTGTGTATTTTTCTCTAACTCTTTTATTAACCCTTCAGTACCCAGCCAAAATGAGTTACATCGCTAGCCCCTTTTGCGTGATTTTTTTTTTTATAGAAGAGGGGGGCAAACGAGCAGGCGGCTCACCTGATGTAAAGTGACTACCGCCGCCCATGATCAACTGCAACACCTGGGAAATTGCAAGTGCGTTGCCGGCCCTTACGGTTTTCCCGGCCCGGCCCGGTTTTCAAGCTACTGGACTGGAAAGGATACCGGAGTTAATACCGTATTAACATTAATGGCGAGTACATCACTCACCTTCGATTTGCCGACGATATAGTTCTTATGGCAGAATCGCTGGAGGACCTTAGCTCTACGCTCAATGACCGCAATGGTGTCTCCCAAACGGATAGGTCTTAAGATGAACATGGACAAAACAAAGATCATGTTTAATGTCCATGTCACACCTATGCCGGTAGTTGTTGGGAGCACTATGCTCGAAGTTGTTGACGAGTACGTTTACATGGGACAAATAGTCCGACTAGGTAAGTCCAACTTCGACCGAGAGGTCAATCGACGGATTCAACTCGGCTGGGCAGCGTTCGGGAAATTACGACACATCTTCTCGTCAGGTATACCTCAATCTCTGAAAACTAAAGTGTACAACCAGTGCGTGTTGCCAGTGATGACTTACGGATCAGAGACGTGGTCCTTCACTGCTGGCCGTATGAGGACGCTCAAGGTCGCTCAGCGAGTTATGGAGAGGGCTATGCTCGGAGTTTCTCTGCGTGATAGACTCAGAAATGAGGATATCCGCAGTAAAATCAGAGTGACCGACATAGCCCAAGGGATTAGTAAGCTGAAGTGGCAATGGGCCGGCCATATAGCTCGAAGAACCGGTAACCGATGGGGAAGAAAGGTTCTCGAGTGGCAGCCTCATACCGGTAGGCGTAGGTAGGGCGACCCCCCACTAGATGAAGTGACGACCTGGTAAGACATGCAGCAAGTCGGTGGATGCAGGTGGCTCAGGACCGTGCTTTGTGGCATTATTTGGGGGAGGCCTATGTTCAGCAGTGGACTTGTGAGGGGCTGTAATGATGATGATGATGCCGCCCCTTTAGAAAGGAGTAAGCTCTTTTCTTGAAGGTCCCTAGTTCGTATCAATCCGGAAAAATCGCCGGTGGTAAACTATTCCACAGAGGTTGTACGCAGAATAAAACACTTTTGAAACGTACAGTGGTGGAACGCCAAGCATCCAAATGGTGTGGATGGTATCGGGACGTTTGCCCGTAGTGCGTTCACGAAATTTGGCGGCTGGGATTAATCCGGACAATTCCTCGGAGAACTCTCCATGGTATATGCGAAAGAAAATGCAAAGAGATGCAACATCTTTTCGCAGCGCCAGTGAATCAAGCCGATCGGAAAGCACTCGGTCGTCGACGATTCGAGCCGCTCTGCGCTGGATGCGGTCAAGTGGAAGGAGCTGGTACTGGGGGAGCCCCAGCCCAGAGATAGAAACAGTATTCCATGTGCGGCCGAACCTGCGCCCTGTAAAGTTGCAGGCGGTGTGCCGGCATAAAATACTGTCCCGCTCTGCCGAGCACGCCAAGCTTTTTAGAGGCCGATTTGGCTTTCTCTTCCAAGTGACCACGAAACTGCACGTCACTCGATATGTCGACGCCGAGGATTCCTATACTGCCTGAGGCAACAAAGGGAGTGCCTTGAAACTGAGGAGATACGACAAAGGGGTTCTTTTTAGCGGTTAACGCGCAAACTTGTGTCTTCTGGGGGGGTTAAAATTGACTAGATTTAGTTGCCCCCAATCCGAGACTCTGTTCAGCAAAGACTCGACTTCAGACACAAGTTTGTCCCGGTACTCGGAGACATTTTCCCGAGAAATATTGGCTCGGTCAGTGTAAAGAGCATCATCAGTGCCGTCATCGGCATAGCAATGAACGTTACGGGTTTGCAACATATCATTGATATGCAGAAGAAACAGTGTTGGCGATAGCACGCATGTGGAACACCAGCATTAATAGGCTTGCAATCGGATCTTGCACCGTCTACAACGACCTTGATGCTCCGATCTGCGAGAAAAGTGGTGATCCAATCGCACAATTTCTCGGGAAGCCCATAGGAAGGGAGCTTCGAAAAGAAGCGCTTTGTGCCAGACCCGATCGAAGGCCTTCGCAATGTCCAAACTAACTTCCAATGCTTTCCCCTTGGACTCTACTTCCTCCGCCCGTCTGTGAGGTAGACCAGAAGATCACCAGCTGACCGACCACGGCGAAAACCGTATTGGCGATCATTAATCAGCTGATGATCCTCAAGGTACCTCATGAGCTGGCAGTTAACAATAGACTCCATTGTTTTGGAGAACAAGGAGGTGATAGCGATAGGCCGGTAGTTGGACGGGTCTGAACGGTCGCCATTGTAAGTGGCGTAGCTAAAAATAAAACTAACCTTGAATTTGTCTTACATTTGTTTTCTATAAAATTCATTATAAATTTCAATATAATACTTGTTTCTGTTTATTTATTATGTCATATTACTAGTTTTAGTGTTTTTACTTCATTATATTTTAATTGTATATTTGTAGTAAAAATAGTACTTACCCAGCGCAGAACACCGCTCCATTTTTATAATAATTTCTATATATACCTCGAAATTATTTACGTAAAAAGATAAATTGTATTCCCACAAAAACTTTTATTACAATTTTATAGTGAAACACTATACTAAACCCTAACAAAACATTAGAAATATCCAAAAATCAACACAATAACACGCCACACGAAATAGGCGTACGAAATGAACGTAGATTATAAATAAAAAACCATAGACTAACTACGTTTTATTGCATTAGAGGATAGAAAATTTCACATTGAGTCTATAATGCCAAACTTTTTCATAGACAAGTAGTCTCTAAATATAAGTTTTTATGGTTAAAGTGCTGTGGGTGGGTGTGGTCGGATCCGACCACTTGAAATTTGACGGAATATTGCCGTGGTCGGATCCGACTGCGTGCATATTGAGAGGTTAAACCAAGCCTAATCTGTCATAATCGTGTAATCATAGAATGTGCTTCTGATGTTAAGAGGGCGTGTTTTTTATCGCCCAAAAGCTAAGTAAACTTTTGGTAAATCCAAATGTGCATGGCTTAAGCGCTTATGTTATCATCAAATAACATTTAACCTTATCGATATTACTTCTAATTTTTCGATTATTTTATCTCAAATGCCAATTTTGGAAAATCCGAAAGTTTACGACTCATAATGCTCATATGATCGTGAAAAAATGTAGAAAAAAATTCTCAACTAAAAATAGAAATTCTTTTTAAATTTTACTGTTACTATTATTGAGATTCATTCTTTTACTATTGTTAGTTGAAAGAACTTTTACACAGAATACAGAACTATCATAAAACGATCATAAATCAAATTTAACATTACTTTAATTTTCAGGTGTTTGTACTCAGGCATTATCGTAAAAACTAGTATTTTTTACATGACGCATTAATAATTTATTTTCCGCCAACTTTGTTCTTTTTAAAAAAGTTTTTAATCGAGTCATAACAAGTATTTTAATTTAGCATTTACCAAAGTGAGCGTTCTCGTCACTCTATCAAGTCTGCAGTAGATCTCTTCACAACTAACAAATCGAAGCAAAACTCGGCACACCTAGTTCTACTCTTCGAGGAGTTCCAGTAGCAGGGACCTATAAGTATACTTATATATAAATTCTACGTAATTTTAGCAAAACAATATGTTGTAATGAAAATCTTTGATTATAAAAATAATAATAATATCTTAACTTGGTCAAATGTGTATCAAATTTGGTTTTTGGAATATTTTGTATTTCTACAGCGATCGATATTTTTCATCACAAGCCGCTGTAAACAAACGATACAGTAACCAACACGGAACAAATCGAAGTGTATCTGTATTAAGAAAAATATATTATTACAAGGCTGCTCAAACACCAACAATTTCGGAATTTCTAAGCCGATAAAAATATTAATTTTAACAAAAAAAAAAAAACAAAATAAAACCTACATTTATATTCTATGGCTTCCCACATGATAGACGAAGCGGTTAAAAAATAGATTGAGTTGAAAAATTTATATTTTCAAAACTTATCGTGCTAACGTACTACATCGTAAGCCTAAGTGGCTTTTCGTAGACAAGTAGTCTCTAAATATAAGTTTTTATGGTTAAAGTGCTGTGGGGTGGGTGTGGTCGGATCCGACCACTTGGAATTTGACGGAATATTGCCGTGGTCGGATACGACTGCGTGCATATTGAGAGGTTAAACCAAGCCTAATCTGTCATAAGTAATCATAGAATGTGCTTCTGATGTTAAGAGGGCGTGTTTTTTATCGCCCAAAGGCTAAGTAAACTTTTGGTAAATCCAAATGTGCATGGCTTAAGCGCTTATGTTATCATCAAATAACATTTAACCTTATCGATATTACTTCTAATTTTTCGATTATTTTATCTCAAATGCCAATTTTGGAAAATCCGAAAGTTTACGACTCATAATCCTCATATGATCGTGAAAAAATGTAGAAAAAAAATCTCAACTAAAAATAGAAATTCTTTTTAAATTTTACTGTTACTATTATTGAGATTCATTCTTTTACTATTGTTAGTTGAAAGAACTTTTACACAGAATACAGAACTATCATAAAACGATCATAAATCAAATTTAACATTACTTTAATTTTCAGGTGTTTGTACTCAGGCATTATCGTAAAAACTAGTATTTTTTACATGACGCATTAATAATTTATTTCCACCAACTTTGTTTTTTTAAAAAAGTTTTTAATCGAGTCATAACAAATATTTTAATTTAGCATTTACCAAAGTGAGCGTTCTCGTCACTCTATCAAGTCGGCAGTAGATCTCTTCACAACTAACAAATCGAAGCAAAACTCGGCGCACCTAGTTCTACTCTTCGAAGAGTTCCAGTAGCAGGGACCTATAAGTATATTTATATATAAATTCTACGTAATTTTAGCAAAACAATATGTTGTAATGAAAATCTTTGATTATAAAAATAACAATAACATCTTAACTTGGTCAAATGTGTATCAAATTTGGTTTTTGGAATATTTTGTATTTCTACAGCGATCGATATTTTTCATCACAAGCCGCTGTAAACAAACGATACAGTAACCAACACGGAACAAATCGAAGTGTATCTGTATTAAGAAAAATATATTATTACAAGGCTGCTCAAACACCAACAATTTCGAAATTTCTAAGCCGATAAAAATATTAATTTTAACTAAAAAAAAAACAAAATAAAACCTACATTTATATTCTATGGCTTCCCACATGATAGACTAAGCGGTTAAAATATAGATTGAGTTGAAAAATTTATATTTTCAAAACTTATCGTGCTAACGTACTACATCGTAAGCCTAAGTGGCTTTTCGTAGACAAGTAGTCTCTAAATATAAGTTTTTATGGTTAAAGTGCTGTGGGTGGGTGTGGTCGGATCCGACCACTTGGAATTTGACGGAATATTGCCGTGGTCGGATCCGACTGCGTGCATATTGAGAGGTTAAACCAAGCCTAATCTGTCATAAGTAATCATAGAATGTGCTTCTGATGTTAAGAGGGCGTGTTTTTTTATCGCCCAAAAGCTAAGTAAACTTTTGGTAAATCCAAATGTGCGTGGCTTAAGCGCTTATGTTATCATCATATAACATTTAACCTTATTGATATTACTTCTAATTTTTCGATTATTTTATCTCAAATGCCAATTTTGGAAAATCCGAAAGTTTACGACTCATAATCCTCATATGATCGTGAAAAAATGTAGAAAAAAAAATCTCAACTAAAAATAGAAATTCTTTTTAAATTTTACTGTTACTATTATTGAGATTCATTTTTTTTACTATTGTTAGTTTATCGTGCTAACGTACTACATCGTCATTGATCGATTCAAAAAAAAAAAAGTTACTTATCTTTCTAACAATTTGTTTTTATATCATTTATATGTTCAATATGATTGTTAGATATGATGTCATGCGACAAGTCGTTGGATGCTTGATTTTTAGGCGATTGTAGAACATACCTAATCGCTTTGCGCTAAGGCATACAATAGTTATCCAGCAAGTAAACGCAACCAGCGTTCTTGGCACGATACCACCGCGAGACAGGATTCTAATGAAAATAAAATGTTTAATTTTTCTTTATTGTTAGTTTTTTTTGAATATTGTATGTAACATTTTAGTTTTAATTTATGTAATATATTTTGTTATTAAAAATAAAATTATGTAATAATACAATAAAGAATATTTATATATTATATATTCTTTATTGTATTATTCGTTCGCAATATTTATATATTTAAATATGCATTATATTTTACGCCATTTTTATTGCATAAGGGTGACAAACGAGCACATATTCCACCTGATGGTAAGTAGATGCTGTGGCCCATAGATATCTAAATTTGATTTAGAATCAAAATGCAGATGCGTTGTCGCCCCTAAGGACTAAGATGGAACGCCTCGGTCCCAGTAAAACGGGTCTGCGGTTCTCTACGCTCACCATACGAAACACAGCAGCATTAAACTGCTATTTTACGCTGGTTTTCTGTGAGAGCATGGTCCTTCCACGGTCGAGCCAACCCATTCATGCTACAGCCATAATATAGCTGCACCGTGGCTTTATCATGTAAAAATTTATTATACATTCGGTATATTTCCTATAAATTTCTTCAGTTGTCTTGAGATGTTTTATGAGCTCCGTTATTCATATTTTTGAATTGTTTTCCCGCTAAATATTTTTATAGAATATAGGTGACAAAACTAAAAGCTGTAATGGTACTTAAGTAAGAATGTAATAAATTTTTGTAAGACCTATATTTTTCTTTCAAGGTCTGGCCGTTTGTATGTGCAACATTAATCGTAACAGGCCCTGCGTTATGGATTGTGATCGCTGCTCCGTCCTTCTGGCAAAACCGTCGCCGAGATCAACTGCGCCTCTTTAGTAAATGCTGTTGGTTTACCACTACATTATTTCTTCGACAGTGTAAGTTTATAAAAATAATTGTTTTTATTAATAAAAGGCATATATTATTTCTAGACAAACATTTTTCTAGGTGGTTATATGACTAGTTCCTTGACGAGGGGTCTGTCTTAGTAAGAACCACCCTCCTACCCCTTTCTGCCACCAAGCTGCAGTGCGCAAACAGCTTTGTTCCAGGGTACAGACAACTCAGTCCTTAGAGGTGACAACACACCATTGGCCTTCTTTGTTAGAAGCTGTGGCAAATTTTCGTGGACTGCAATCGCCATTTACCTTTATGTGTGTAGGGGTGGTTAAGAATATTCACTACCCATATTATCTCGTAAGTGTCATAAGATGCGACAGAGGGAAACATATCAGGAGATAGGCAGCAGCGTCTTACTAATAACGACCAAAAATAAAAAAACTGCGGTTCCAAAACCGCCTGCCAATCGCGGCAACTATAGCAAACATCCGCCCTATGAGACAATTTGTGGGGGAGGCCTATGTTCAGCAGTGGATTTTAATAGTTTGTAATGGACTAGAATTTCTTTCATTTTATCAGAACGAGAAACGTTTCCACCTATTAACGAATGCGATACCTCAAAACCAGTAAAAAGGTTGTTAAATTGAAACACTAGAACAGTGCTATTTTATTCTATGTCATGTTTCTGGTTAATTTGGTTCTCTCCCCAACATACAAGAATACAATGCAATGTCGCGTTGTGCAGTCATCTAATAAACTTGGTAACAAGCACTTATGAAATTAATTATATAATAAAATATATTTGAAGGTTATAGTGTTATGACTTTTTTATGGTAAATGTCAACCACTGTTTTCTTCTATTGTATTCTTAGAAAATTTTTATTAGTCTCCATCCGTTCTGGCGCTGAGCACAGGTCTCGTACCGTTTCTGAGAAGTTTTTATAGCGAGGAAGTCTCTAATATCCTGCACTGCTGTCTTTAAACTTTGAAAATCTTTTCTGACATTTCTCAGACATACAGGTTTCTTCACTATAATTTTTTCATCATGTGGTAACAATAAAAATGTCAATAGGACCGAATTATGACCTCAGCGGTCAGTCTAAACCGCGACCAGTCGTGTGACCTGTATAGGACTACAATGCACAAGTGTGCACGCAAGCACAGGTGCACTTTCTATTTCCTCAATCTCACATTCCAATTGGACGACCGTAGTGACATCAGGCACATGAATAGCACTTTATACGCTTCCTAGGGCACGGCGATCAAAGAGAACCAACTTTCTAACACTGAGATTTTACTGAGTATTTCTAAACAGAAAAACTAAATAAATGATTTTGGCCCGACCCAAGATTTGAAGCTCACGACCGATACACTAATAGAGTAATCAACAGCGTAGTAATGAACGTTCTTAATATTTGGTAAAATGTCTGCTAAAAAACTTAACTCTTTTTTTTGCAGCTTCTAGCAAAGAGCCTTCAAGCACACATAAAGCTCGTTTAGTGGCAATTTTAATTTCACTTGGAGCTACATATGTCATAGGCGACATGTACTCGGCAAATCTCACTAGCCTACTTGCTCGACCTGCACGTGAACAACCTATTGGTACACTTGAGGCTCTAGAAGAGGCAATGAGAGATAGAAAATATGAGCTTGTTGTGGAAAGACACAGTTCCTCTCTTACTATTTTAGAGGTATTGGCAATCTAACATAATATCATCATCTTTATCATCATAAGTCTACGGTAGTCCTCTGTTGTAAATCGGTCTCTTACGTGGTGGTGCTATGATATATCGACCATCACGATCACGAACGTTCGTACGGGCAAAAATTTCCTCGCATCCTATCATCGGCTTTCTTGTCATCCGGGATAAGTATGGGCGGGACATTCACTTCCTCAATTTCCCAAAATTTGCAATTCGAGAGGTTCAATAGCGGTGCAGCAATAAGAAACTGCCGAAACATTATCTACAGTAGGAGCGGAACCAACAATAACATAACCTAAAACGGTTTCCGATGCGTTTGGTGCGATACACGAGGAGATGCCCCAATGAGCCTATCAATGTCCCCAAGGACGGAGTGTCATTCGCTAAAGCCAGAAATTGGTCATTGCGGAGGCGTCAACCGAAACATTTGGCAGACGCTCGATCACTTTGTCTACAACTAATGAGTAACCTTCAACCGTTTATTGAAGCCTCCAATTCCCTTCACTACGGGATATAAAGGCGTCCTATTTGCAAATAATCTTAAACGTTGACAAGATTGATGCGTAGTAAAAATGCTTTGAGATGCACTATCTAACAATGCACGAACGCTAAGTTCGTTTCCATGTGAATCACTAACTAAAACGCTAGCGGTACTAAGGCGATGCAAAGGCGTCGAGCGATGGTATGTTGGAGCTACGATTTTCCATTTCGAGCGAACGTACGGTGTCCAGGTCTATCTTTTTTTGACGCATTGTGCAAAAAAATACCAATTCCATAAGATCATTCAATTTAAGATTTCGAGAGCAGCTACCAACGTTGTGAATCTATTTAAAAATTGTTCGAGTTTATGAATATACCAGCGTGAAGTAGAGGTTTACCTCTGCGTTTCGCTTGGTAAGTGCAGGTAGCCGTAGGCCTAATTTCCCCTCCCTCTTTCTTAACAAGATAGCGGAATCAATAAAAAACTACCCCAGGAGTGTACCATCACCCCTGGTGTAGGAAAGCAGCTACCAACGTTGTGAATCTATTTAAAAATTGTTCGAGTTTATGAATATACCAGCGTGAAGTAGAGGTTTATCTCTGCGTTTCACTTGGTAAGTGCAGGTAGCCGTAGGCCCAATTTCCCCTCCCTCTTTCTTAACATGATAGCGGAATCAATAAAAAACTACCCCAGGAGTGTACCATCACCCCTGGTGTAGGAGAATCGAGCATCCACGACCAAGTTATCCTACTATTCCTGAGCGTGGGTGCTCAGGCTGATCCGCGTATTCTGGGGGGGGGCAACTCCGCTCGCGACCAAAACTATTTGGGACAAGCAAAGCAACCACACCAAGGTGACCCCTGCCACGCTTTCCGTGAATTTTTGCAACACAAGAGGACTTTATTTCAACCTTAACGCTGTCCACTACCATCTGGAGGCGGCGAAGCTGGCCTTGCTCTTTTTAACCAAGATTCAGGTGTCCTCTCCAGCAGATACTTAATGTCTCCCTAATCCCTACCTGGATTACAAATTGGAACAATTCTTTGTGACCCGGGCTGGCGTTTGCTTATGCGTTAGAGAGAACATCTGTTTTCGACGCATAGGCAGTCTTGAAGGTAAAAGGCGCAACCTATGGCTGCGTAGTAGACAGCGACGAACATGCCCAAGTCTACGGATGCCTATATAGGTCCCATAGCGGTAATTTCAAAACAGACCGACTCATTGACTATGTCCAAATGACTACAGATTCCGTGCTATAGCAGATCCCATCCGCAGAGATCGTGATTTTTGGCGATTTTAACGTCCACCATGCCAAAATTCTTGGTTTACGTTTAACCGATCATGCGGGGAGATCTGTTTATGACTTTGCCTTTACATATGGTCTGACACAATTGGTTACTTCGCCTATCCCAGAAGTTGAAGGTTTTTCACATTCAATGTTGGACCTTCTGCTGACATCTCATCCGGACAGATATCAGGTTTCCGTCGACGCTCCTATAGGCTTGTCAGATCATTGTCTTGTCCAGAGTGTGGTCTCACTCACGCTGAAATCGTAGTTGCATTCTGCAGGTTACCGCCGTTTTTGGCACTATAGGTCGACCGATTGGGATAGGTTTCGGTCTTTTTTACATCAAACCCTTTGCGGTGACTTTGCTTCTCGCCGGATTATCCCATCGTTGTTGCTGATTCTGTTGCTGATTCTGTTGCTGATTCTGTTGCTGATTCTGTTGCTGATTCTGTTGCTGAGGTGGTACGAATGTAAAATATAAATTTCAGGGTATGAAACTTTTTATTCCATCCTTTGTGGTGCTCATCGGAGGCAAAGGCGGATGTGGGTTTTACACAGCGCTCGATTCACAAAGCACTCCTCTTCCGGGATTGTGCTGAAGACATGTGCTCCGGAGTTGGCACCGGTTTAAACGCGGCTTTTCAGGTACTCCTTCTCTCAATGCGTAGTCCCGAATTCGTGGTAGACAACTTTGGACCACTCGATCCCTAAAAAATTGTTCAGACTCGTCCAACTACAGCCCTATCGTCTTCACCTCCTTGTTCTCTAAAATAATCGAGTTAATTATAAACTGCCAGCTCATGAGGTACCTTGAGGGTCACCAGATGATTAGCGACCTCCAATATGGTTTTCGTCGTGGTTGATCAACTGGTGATCTTCTGGTCTACCTGAGTCATGTGGTCGGTGGCAGTAGAGTCCAAGCGGTGTCCAAGGTGAAAGTAGAGTACAATGAGAAATATCTAAACGAAATAAATGATTTATGCGTAAACAAGTTGAATATAACTGTGAGCGGTATAATACGACTGCGGAAGAATGCAGAAGGCGGTTATTTTGAACATGCACTCATCAAATAAAATCGAGTACTTCGGCGGGAACACTACACTAGTATATTTATTCATATAAAATATTATGAATTGCGGTACGATATAAATAAATAGACGTGCGGGGACAGTCTTAATAAAATAGGCGTCTATGTAACAATAATAATGCGAGTGCTGCTACTAAATCGGAAGACTAACTATTGCGTTTTGGCGATAAAATCAAACAATATGGCGTATCCCCAGTGGTGCGAAGCGAAACTAAAATCTACTTAGGAACTTAGGCGCGACTAAACCAAAATATATTGTCCAAATTTCAGTTCAGCAATCCGACTTGATTGGACCGTAGGTTGCCGGTTTAAATCCGGGTCGACTGGACCAAAAGTATGGTTGGTTGGTTGGGCCAGTGGTTGTTAGTTCAAATCCGGATCGACTGGGCCAAAAGTTATGGGTGCACGAAAGTGACGAAATGTATGGTGGGGTAACCGATTACGTGGACTGTATTAGCGTGGTTCAAAAGAAACCAAAACAAAATGGCGGACGTGGCACATGATGGACGTTCGACAATATACGAGTACTTGCTATAAAATTAATTTTATGCATAGGCTGCTGCGGAATAGAAACAACAAATTAAACAGCTCATAAATAAGAACGGGCACTTACCTTGGGAAACGACGAGCGGCCACTCTCTACGGCCATGTAGGCACAAGTTGTCGGCTTGCGGATACGACTAAAAATTATATTGCACTGGTGAGGCCGGTGGTGATGCGTGTCTTTTTATAGCTTCAACTGTCTCCCCTTTCACTTTGAAACGCAAAGATGTGTCCACCTGTATCTAGCTACCATTAGGTAGGCCCGAGTGGGGAAGGAACGGAAGCGAGGAGAGGTTATGCCGACCAACTCAACTAACAAAATACATCAATAAATACGAAAATGCAAGGTTGTGCGTTGGCGCAATCACTGAATAATTATAAGTATATGCAGAATTATGTTAAGTCTGAATCTGAATGACAGGGTAAGAAGTTGTGCAATAAGAGAAAATTGTGTTTTGCAAGACGACATTGTGACCAAAATTAAGAAAGGATTTCTTCACTCACTCTCTTTCACACTCAAGGCTTCGGTGGTTTGGCCATCTAGAAAAAATGAATTAGTTAAGAGTGACAAAGCAAATCTATGTTGCGGAAGTGAACGGTAGAGTTGGAAAATGACGTCCTAGATAAAATTTTATCGACCAAACTTGGCGAAATATTGAAAATTGGCCATAATTAGTATAATGCCGGCATTGGAATTAAATTGAATTTGCCTATAGGGCCACACATACACGTTCACTGCCTATAGGGCTGTATCATCACTAATGTTCGTACGTTTTATCAATTGTAACAGTTGTAGCAATTTTTCTCCAAAATGTATGGTATGATATTGCAATAACTTTTATTACATTCTTAGAACGGTACCGGTGTGTATGGGCGCCTCGCTAAATTAATGCGCCGTCAAAAATTACAACGTGTGCGCAGTATAGAAGTTGGCGTAAGACTAGTGTTGGCCCATAAGAAAATTGCAGTACTTGGTGGAAGAGAAACATTATTCTACGATACAGAGCGATTTGGTATTAGAATTATTAACATTATTATTATTATTATAATGATTTTAATTTTAAATATTTGTGTGTCTAGATTAACCACTTTAATTGATGTATGACAAAAATCTCCTTATCGATAGTATATCTTATTTTACAGACTTTAGCGCATTAAATTTTGACTTTTTCTGAAATTCTAATTAATTGAGCTTTAAAGCCATTGGCATAATTTGCAAAATTAGTTCAAATTCGTTTTAATTAATTAAAGTACAATCAAAGGAGAAGACATAACCACTAAAACAATTCAAATCTTTTAAAATAACGTGAAAATTACAGTTGATAGAATAATGCTCACTTTTATTTCAGGATCGCATAATTTTCACCTAAGTGAAAAGCTATATACTAGGTATTCAGCTATCGCTTTGCAGATCGGTAGTCCATACCTTGAAACCTTCAATAATGTGTAGGTATTAATGAACCGTTTATTTATTTTTAAACGTTAAAGTGTGACATTTCTATTATAATATATTGAAAAATTCAAACTGATTTTTTTTCTAAGAAGAATATGTACATTAAGGCGAAGCATTAACGAGTGCTATACAACTTTTATCTCATCACACATATATCTATCATAAATGATCTGTCCTCACTATACGGTTGCTACTAGCGATTATGGAGAACAACGTATCTCTAACTGCAATTCCTGAAATAATGTTAAAACGGTTTATCAATCAGTGTGAGTGGGATTGTTGCCCTGAGAGTTTTAACATCTTTGTTCGAAGCACTTCACAGTAGGTATCTCTATTTATACACCGAATAAAAGCAATAGACATTACACTATGCAGACCACTAAACAGTTACTATAACTTTTCTATGGATCAACTTATACAGTGTGTAAGTGTAAACACCGTTGTCACTGAAACCATGGGTGGTTGGCTTTAATATAAAAATATTTATCCGATTTTTTTTTAAAAAACGCTATTTTCTTTTATAAAATTAAAAATGTTTCTGTCCGACACCGTCCGTAAATTCATGGATACCCTATGCGCTCGAGTGACGTAATCACTATAAAGATCACCGCCCGCCCTTGCTACCAACACAACATTTCAATATAAACACAATGGTACACATAACCTATCATGAAACTTTTCCTTCATACTTTCACACTTGCTTAGGACAGATAAAAATTCCTACCCATTGTGACGAGTTGACGAGTCCAAATTAATGTAAGTTATTAGATTTAACAACAAAGAAAATTAAAAATTAATAATAGTAAATAGTAAATCATTAGGTAGGATTTTTGGCGTATTTACCGTATACCGTACCGCGGCCCTGGAACGCAAAGGGCATTTGAAGCATAAGCTGACCGTTCATTGTACGGAAAGATCATACAAATCGAGGCCAAGACAAAGGATTTGTACAGCTTGATGTGTAGCCTGATTGATTGGTTATTTACACTTACCTATTAAATAAAATCCACGTAAATGAATTCCATTTTGATCAGCTTTTACATTAATCGTAAAAGCTAGAAGCACAACAGTGTCATTTTTCTAAATACAATAAGAATTCGCCTTTTGAGTTCGGACGTATTACGGAACTTAGTTGCATACACTCGGCGCTTCACTTCTCCCCAAAGATAAAAGTCCAGCGGGATAAGGTCGGTTCATCACCCAGGAAACTCCTCAACCAGCATAGCCCTGATTTGCAGCTGAAAATGTGCAGGGGCACCGTCATGTTGGTAGTAGAGGTTTCTCAGTGAACGAAGAGGCACATTTCCACTGCACGTTTATGTAGGACATAATAACATAAAGCGACGTAGAATGTCGGCACTGCGCGGCGCGATTTTAAATCAAATTAACACATACATTCCGTACCGACGCAGCGAAGGTGACTGACACAGTGACATTGGCCTTGACCGCGAATCACTGCCGCTACCTACGATATGTTGAGTTTTTTTGTTGTGAATTCTGTAGGTATATCCCTACTTGCCTAGGGTGAAATAATTGTAAGAAAAAATTGAGATTTGACTAAAAAAAAATGTTGTTATTTTTCATTGAAATTACTTTCTATAAGTGAACCAAACCACTGGTTTCAAGGACAACGGTGTTTACACTAACACCCTGTATACTACATTTTAACCGTAGTTTATTATATAATACATTGTTATTTACCTCAGTATCTGTTCTTCATTATAGTTCATTTTTTAACTGGAAGCTTCCAGAGTAAAAGCACAGTGTGTTCTTCCTCTCCAAACGCATTGCTGATATTGAGAGCTGTCTCTATTGCGCTAAAACGTATTTGAAAATTATTCTAATTTTGGAGGTCCCTATGTTTAACTGAAATATTAAAATTTTTGTTGTTTAGGTAACGAAGATTTATTCAAGAATCTTGGACTATGGAGGTTTAATTTAAAAGGGCCCTCCCAATAAATGAAAACTTTATACTTTTTAATATTTTTTACACTATTTTTTTACAAACACCATCCCTCTCAACACACACACACACACACACTTACAAACGTCTTTTAGACTTTTTCTAACGCACAACTAGTCAGATCTAGAAAAACTAACAGCTAAATATAATGATACACAAATAACCTCATCTCATTTACTTTTAATATGTAACTTATTTTCATCTGAATCTGAATATGATCAAGATTAACGTAATATTGGTGTATAATAAGGATAATGAACCTTTTTGAAGCCGGCATAATAGCTAAAATGACTGAAGACGAATATAAGAAACTCCCGGAACAGTCAAGAAAATCCGATCCTGTAACTGAAAGTGATAAAATAAATGGAGATGTCACAGGGGACTCGGCCGCTACTTCGCAGGTGATAACTAAATTCTCAGTAGATATTAATTTTGCAAACTTTCTGAAAAATATATATATATATATTAATCATCAACATATTTCAATATATTAAGAATAATTATTTCTAGACGCAGTCTGAATCTACGATAGGTCTTGAACCAGTGTCGTTAGTCATGCTGCGAGGAGCATTTTGTCTTCTGGGAATCGGTCATTTCGTTGCAGGTGAGTTAATACTGACATTTATAAAAGCTGCTCAATGAATAACGTATCCTCTTCAGTCTCTAAGCAACTCAGCATGAGCTTTGCCTATAGCAGAGAAGATTTTTCGGTAAAGATCCTTCTTAGCAGGACAAATTGGATTAAAATTTTACTTTTTTAATATCGCCGAATAACACAACTAACATCGTATAAGCAGCGCACGTCGATAAAAGTGCTTTTTTTTCCAGACATGTGTATATTTCACGTAACGATGAAACAACACTAAATATTAGGCCAAAGTTATCCCAATACACCACGGAAAACTGCATCTAAATTGGTTTAGCTTTTTGTAACAGGAAAAAGTTATCTACGAATTTTCTTGATGTATGGTCGTCGCGAGTTAACTTAAAAAGGAAAAAATATTTTATTCTTCTTATGAATGAAAACTCCAACAGTTGATGCACAACAAATAAACTCAATTCTGTTTTCAGCTTTAGTACTGGCCGTCGAAATACAGTTATATCGTCGTTCACATGTCTTGATAATTGAAGAAAGTGGAACCAACAAACTGTCGAAACAAACGGCAGCACGCCGATTTAAAAAAGTCGTCAAAATTAGATTCAGAAAACTTTTAAAGATTTTATACAACCAAATTAATAATGCTTTTGGGCCTGTATAAATTTTAAGACTTAGCCTTTGTCGAATAGTAAGTTTGCAGATAATCCATCAAAAAAATATTAAAAACTAGAAGTCGTAAAATTGTTTTAATTTTCTTTTTCTTTTAAATACTTGCCTCTTGACTTGTGTTTAACTTTCATATCGTTGAGACGTTTTACAGACATTAATTGCGCATCAACACAGCCAGATCGGGTATAACTATTCTTACAGTGGCAAAAGCCGGCTCACGGGTGCTAACGCATCTGCATTTTGATTCGTAATCAAGGATGGATGTAGATGTCTATGGGCCACAGCAACCACTTACCATCAAGTGCACTGTGTGCTCGTTTGTTACCCTATCCTATATAAAAAGTAGCCCTCCTCCTCGTAAAGTTTCTTTCGTAATAGCGTGGGGTTTACATCTATTTATATTATAAATACCTAGTTCTGCTCTCTTATTATTTATCTCACTTAGTACTATCATATGTATTTTATATTTGATATGCTCCATCAAGACTAGCAATTCATTAAAATGTTTTCTTAAAGAGCGTATGTTTAGATAAACGATCTAATGCTAATATATGCAGGTTGAGATTCACTCCATTGTCATCATCATCTTTAAAGCCCTTCACAAGTCCACTGCTGAACATAGGCCTCCCCCAAGGAATGCCACAAAGCACGGTCCTGAGCCACCTGCATCCATTGACTTCCTGTATGTCTTACCAGGCTGTCACTCCATCTAGTGGGGGCATCTTGGGGGGGGGCATCAAGTACGAGGTTGCCACTCGAGAACATTTTACCCCCAAAAGTTGTCGATTCTTCGAGCTATATGGCCGGCCCATCGGCACTTCAGCTTACTAATCCGTTGGGCTATGTCGGTAACTCTGGTTCTACTGCGGATGTCCTCATTTCTAAGTTCATTTATACGCAGAGAAACCCCGAGCATAGCCCTCTCCATAGCTCGCTGAGCGACCTTGAGCGTTCCCATACGGCCAGCAGTGAAGGACCACGTCTCCACGTCGCCACAGGCACTAGTTGTACACTTTAGTTTTCAGATTTTTAGGTATACCTAACGAGAAGATGTGTCGTAATTTCCTGAACGGTGCCCAGCTGAGTTGAATCCGTTGATTGACCTCTCGGTCAATGTTGGACTTACCTAATCGGATTATTTGTCCCAGGTAAACGTACTCGTCAACAACTTCGAGCTTAGTGCTCTTAACAACTACGGGCATAGGTGTGACATGGACATTAAACATGATCTTTGTTTTGTCCATGTTCATCTTAAGACCTATGCGTTGGGAGGCACTATTGAGGTCATTGAGCATAGTGCTTAAGTCCTCCAGCGATTCTGCCATAATGCAAATCGAAGGTGAGTGAAGTACTCGCCATTGACGTTAATACCGTATCCTTTCCAGTCCAGTAGCTTGAAAACGTCTTCCAATGCAGCGGTGAAGAGTTTCGGGGAATTAACGTCACCCTATCTTACACCTCTCTGCAGTTGGATAGGTTTCGTACTCTGGTTCTGTACTCGGATAGCCACGTAGCCCTACTGTACAAAGACTTCAGCACTTCGATGTACCGACAGTCAACTTGGAACCGCTGAAGAGACTGTAGCACCGCCCAAATTTTGACGGAATCAAAGGCTTTCCCATAGTCCACATACGCCAGGCAAAGTGGCAGATTGTAGTCTTCGGACTTCTGTACAATTTGCCGAAGAGAATGTATGTGATTTATGGTACTAAAGTCTTTTCGGAAACCGGCTTGTTCGGGAGGCTAGAAGTCGTCGAGTCTGAATGCGAGACGGTTTGTAATGACTCTCGAAAACAGCACGTAGACGCGGCTCAGAAGGGATATCGGTCTATAGTTCTTCAAAAGGGCGTTGTCACCTTTCTTGAGGAACAAGACCACCGCACTACTGTTCCACGCCTCGGGAGTAGTGCCTCCATGGAGGACGGAATTAAAGAGCTTCTGAAGGACTACAAGTACCGGTTTTCCACCCGCTTTCAGAAGCTCCGCTGTAATTCCATCCTCGCCTGGGGTTCTTCCGTTTTTAAGGTGCTGAAGAGCCATTCTAATCTTGCTCAGACTGACGTCCGGGATATCATCGGAATAGTGTCGGATAAGACTTGCTCTGAATATCCCCCCATGAATAATGACGCAAAAAAACGGCCCCCAGTCCCCGGCGGCCCCGCTATTCCTGGATACGGTGGCGACCATGGTAACGGCGGGGCAGGGGGTGCTAAGAATCTCCGGTGGAGGTTCGGTTGCCACCTACGACGACTCGACCTGGCAACATATAACGCACGCACCCTGAGGACTGACGAGAAGATACTGGAGCCGGAAGAAGAGGTAGACAAGTTGCGCTGGCATATTATTGGATTATCCGAGGTCCGAAGAGAGGGGGAGGATACGGCAATCCTCGAGTCCGGCCACTTGTTCTACCACCGGGAGGGCGACCATCTGTCCCAAGGAGGTGTCGGATTTATCGTCCACAAGTCTCTCGTCAACAACGTTGTAAAGATTGGGAGTGTGTCGACGAGGGTCGCGTACCTGATACTCAGAATCACCAAACGGTATTCGCTGAAGGTCATACAAGTTTACGCACCAACCTCGGCACATCCCGATGAGGAGGTGGAGGAAATGTATGAGGATATTTCCAGAGCCATGCATTCCTCCAAAACCCACTACACGGTGTTGATGGGAGACTTCAACGCAAAACTGGGCACAAGAGAAAGCGGTGAGCTGAAGGTGGGGAAATTTGGAGTAGGGCAACGGAACCGAAGGGGCCAGCAGCTGGCCGACTTTATCGAGAAAGAGGGACTCTTTATGATGAACTCTTTCTTCCAGAAGCGGCCCCACAGGAAGTGGACCTGGTCGAGCCCCGACGGTTCGACAAAAAATGAGATTGACTTCATTATGACGACCAGACGCCAACTGTTCAGTGATGTCTCAGTGATCGCAAGGGTGAAAACTGGCAGCGATCACCGAATGGTTAGAGGCACACTGAACCTAAACGTTAAGTTGGAAAGGTCTCGTCTAATGAAGTCAACGCTCCGTCCCCCTCGTGCTCTAATCCAGAATCCCGAAACCTTTCAGCTCGAGTTACAAAACCGCTTTCAGTGCCTAGAGGATTGCAATGCAGTGGACGATATGAATGACAAGCTCGTGGAAACTGTCCATGCGGTCGGAGCTAAGTTCTGCAAGACCCGCCGCAGAAGAACACAAAAACTCTTCGATCACACTCTTAATCTCATGGCTGTTAGGCGGGAGATGAGGCTGCAATCGTCAACAGATTTGACAGCATACAGGCAGCTGAACAGACAGATCTCTTAATGCATGCGGCGAGACTTACGCAACTTTAATACTGCTCGTATTAAAGAAGCGATCGAGCGGAACCAGGGCTCCAAATTCTTTGCCAGAGATCTTTCTGCAAGAAGGAGCCAACTGTCAAGGCTGAAGACTGAGTGTGGCAACATCGTTTCCGGGACACCTGAGATTCTGAGTGAGATTGAGAGGTTCTATGGGCAACTGTACACATCATCGTTGGAGCCACACGCAAGTGTGAGTAACGATCCAAGAGCAAGTCTTATCCGACACTATTCCGATGATATCCCAGACGTCAGTCTGAGCGAGATTAGAATGGCTCTCCACCACCTTAAAAACGGCAAGGCCCCGGGCGAGGATGGAATTACAGCGGAGCTCCTGAAAGCGGGTGGAACACTGGTACTTGAAGTCCTTCAGAAGCTCTTCAATTCCGTCCTCCATGGTGGCATTACTTCGGAGGCGTGGAGTAGAAGGGCGGTGGTCTTGTTCTTTAAGATAGGCGACAATGCTCTCTTGAAGAACTACAGACCGATTTCCCTTCTGAGTCGCGTCTACGTGCTGTTTTCGAGAGTCATTACGAATCGTCTCGCACGCAGACTCGACGACTTCCAGCCTCCCGAACAAGCCGGTTTCCGAAAAGGCTTCAGTACCATAGATCACATACATACCCTTCGGCAAATTGTACAGAAGTCCGATGAGTACAATCTGCCACTTTGCCTGGCGTATGTGGACTATGAGAAAGCCTTTGATACCGTCGAAATTTGGGCGGTGCTACAGTCTTTTCAGCGGTGCCTAGTTGACTGTCGGTATATTGAAGTGCTGAAGTGTTTGTACAGTAGGGCTACGATGGCTATCCGAGTACAGAACCAGAGTACGAAACCTATCCAACTGCAGAGAGGTGTAAGACAGGGTGATGTTATATCCCCGAAACTCTTCACCGCTGCGTTGGAAGACGTTTTCAAGCTACTGGACTGGAAAAGATACGGTATTAACATCAATGGCGAGTACATCTCTCACCTTTGATTAACCGACGATATAGTACTTATGGCAGAATCGCTGGAGGACCTTAGCATTATGCTCA